GAGGTCTTGGGCCAGGAGTTGGTGGCTCATGCCTGTAATCCTAGCTACTCAGGAGGGTGAGATGTGAGGATCATGGTTCAGAGCCACCCCTGGCAGGAAAGTCCGTGAGCCTCTTATCTCCAGTTAACCACCAGAAAACCACAAGTGGCACTGTGGCTCAAGTGGTAGAATGCTCGCCTTGAGCTGAAGAGCTGAGGGACAGTGCTCAGGCCCAGAGCCCCACTACTGACAAAAAAAAAGAGAGAGAGAGAGAGAGAAAAGGTCTTGGTAAGATGAAAATTTCAAACCATTAAAATGGCTTCCTTTATCATTAACCAGTCATATTGCCAAAAGCAAGTTTTTTTTAAATAAAAGTATATTTCAAAAAGGCTTCCACACTACATTTATTTTATATGTAATGTTTATAAATTACCTGTACTATAAAATTATAATAGTATTTAGTTCACTTTTGTTTATGGCAGAAATCCAACTTCAAGTAGGAATCAAATAAAAGGCTTTATTGGCTGACAAGTTGTAGAAAGGACAGGGGTTCTACCCTTCTCTTGGATCTGGAACTCAACTGAACAGATAAAAGTGGCTTTCCTCCTTTTTTCTCCTTTTCTGTCTCCATTGCCTGCTTCTTTCTTACAGCTCTCTGTTAAGGCTCAGACCTAAGAAGATAGTTCTTATTTGCCAGGTCAGGTCAGAAAAAGTCTCATAGAGAAAGGTTTGGTTCTATTTCACATATCTGTCCCAGGGCCTGTCACTGTGAAAGGAGGATTGGACACACTAGCTTAGCCAGACTGTACCTGTCTTTCTGTGTAGTGGTTGATGTGCTGTTTAATGTCAGAAGTGGGGAGGAGGTATTTGGGGAAGAAGTAGCAGTAACTAACCAAGGGAAGGGACAATCAATCATTTAAGATATCCTGTAGTGGAAGTGGCGCTGTGGCTGAAGTGGTAGAGTGCTAGCCTTGAGCTGAATAGCTGAGGGACAGCGCCCAGGCCCAGAGTTCAACCCATGACTGACCCAAAAAAACACAAAAAACAATACCTTACTAGTCACTTTTAGGCCGGGCACTGGTGGCTCACGCCTGTAATCCTAGCTACTCAGGAGGCTGAGATCTGAGGATCGCGGTTCAAAGCCAGCTGGGGCAGGAAAGTCCGTGAGACTCCTATCTCCAATAAACCACTAGAAAACCAGAAGTGGTGCTGTAGCTCAAGTGGTAGAGCGCTCGCCTTGAGCTGAAGGACAGCGCAAAAGCCCAGAGTTCAAGCCCCACGACCAACCAAAAAAAAAAAAAAGATATCCTGTAGCAATAATGTAAGTTAATTTATCTTTTGCATGGCTTAAAGCTAGAGTTCTATTTTCTTTCCATTTGGGGCTATTTTTTTCTTAAGGTTTTTATAAACATTTGACATTTTGTTTCATCAGGTTAGAATTGATGTTGCTTATTGTGGGTATTTGCTTCTAAACATTTAGTATGTCATCATTTCTATTTATGCCCCATCTTGAGAAGAATAATCTGTTGTACTAGTAATAAGAAGCTGAGTAAATAATGGAGGTGATAGCGGTGAAGGACCAGGTGGTTCCTGTTACATGACTTTGCCTGTGATTTCTGTCAGTTGCTGTGTGGTTCTGTAATCCTTTTTGGATTCAGTGGCTCTTATATCTCTCCAGGAAAGTCCTTTTCTGTTAATAATTGCCAGAATCAATTTCCAGTGCCTGCAGGTGGGGAAACTTGCTTTCAAAGGTTGGTATTAGAAGACCATTGGCTATTTGCAAGAGACTTGTTCTAGTAACTTTTTTTTTTAATTGTGAAAATACTGTACAGAGGAATTACAATTACATGGGCAAGATAATGAGTACCTTTCTTATCAAGCACTGTAGCCTCCTCCTTTGTTTCCCCTTCCCATCCCATCCTCCCCCCCCACCACCAAAGTTGTAAAGTTCGTTTTCGACATATGACTTGTACGTCTCATTGTTGCAATGGGTCCACTTGTATCCCTATTTAAACGATTTATTTTTTCCCTTCCCCTCCACAAATTATAACCTCAAATACAGTGAAAGCAGGGGTTATAACATGGGGGAGGGACATACAAAGCAACAAAGAAAT